GGCGGAGGGGAGGAGGAAGTATGCAGAGAGAAGGGTTCTGTGCCCTTGAGTCACATTAGTTCAGGTTGTCTAGCCACTGTTCTATATGTGCATTTCAGTTAATACTACTGTGTATTAAAGGATAAACAAGTCCCTGATGCTCAACGTATGCTAAAAGTAGAGGTAGTAAAATAATCCCTTTTTTAGTTCTTAGGAAGGACTATCTTCTTGGAATGACCTTTGTTAATTGACTTCTTAGAACTAGACATAGTCCTGTACTTAGTCATTAGAATGGTAGAAGAGGATGAAGAAGAAGGGGTGGAAGGAAGGGCTCCTTGCCAGAATCTCCATATCTAGAAGATGTTTTTAGATGATAACCACAGGTCTATAGGTGCATTTTTAGTAAAGTACCTGTGTTTATTGTGGACAGAGTTCATTATTTTGAAAAACCTAAGCTTCATAGATGTCTTGATGTGACAACATATAATAAAAAGCAGAGCTACTCCATAACTATATACATCTACTATGCACCCACAAAATTATTTTATAAATAGGGCTAGTGAATTTGCCAATTTGTAAATATCTTTTTGTTATAATTGATAGAAAAGATGCATGTTGGACATGGAATTGTTAAACCACCTCTGAGCAATGTATATATTGGGACTTGTTCATTAGTTTGGCAGCAGATGAGTAGAAGAAAGTATAAAGAGAGAGATGTATGCAGATGTATTCATATTTACATTTTGACAATAGCCACTAATGTATGTGAGTCTCTTTTGGCTGTACTATGGGAATACATGAAGTAATTCAATGGAAACATACCTTCTTGGTAATATTTTAGTGGCAAAGATCCCATAATAAATTTTCTTAGAAACATTATACTTAGTGTTGCTTTATTATAGAAATACTATAGAGTATGGAAACACTATACTTAGTGTTACATTATACTCTGTTGCTTTATGTTTCGTTTTAAATTGAGCATTAAGGCAATACAGTCCTCTAATGGGAACTCTGCCAATACTTCTAGCTAGAGGTTTGTTGCCATTTTTGTCTTCTATGAAATTTTTGTGCCAAGACAGGTGGAATTATATTTTCTTCTAACAGATTGAGTTGCTGCAGGGTGTTCTTGGTTATCAAAATACTCACATAGCTTTGGGGTTTTCAATTAGTAAATATCCATACTGTGTGATAAAACATGATACATATTGCATGATCTTAATCCCATAAAATTGGATACTGTGTCTATGTATACACAGGACCTAGAAGGACAAGTCAAACTGTAAACTGCTTGTGATTGTGGAAGACTGTTCTTTGCTTCTTGTGTTTCTCAGTTGCCTACAGTAAACATACTAACTTTTTAAAAATGAAGGGTATAGGTTTTGTTATTTTGTTTTTTTGAGATAGGGTCCTGCTCTGTCATCCAGGCTAGAGTACAGTGGCATGATCATAGCTCATGCAGCCTCAAATTCCGGGCTCAAGTGATTTTCCTACCTCAGTCTCCCAAACAGCTGGGACTACAGGCACACACCACCACACCTGGCTAATTAAAAAAATTTTTTGGCCAGGTGTGGTGGCTTATGTCTGTAATCCCAACACTCTGGGAGGCCAGTAGATCACCTGAGGTCAGGAGTTCAAAAAGACCAGCCTGTCCAACACAGTGAAACCCCGTCTCTACTAAAAACACAAAAAAATTAGCCAGGTGTGATAGCAAGTACCTGTAATCCCAGATACTCAGGAGGCTGAGGCAGAAGAACGGCTTGAACCTGGGAGGCCGAGGTTGCAGTGAGCTGAGATCGTGCCACTGCACTCCAACCTGGGCAGTAAGAGTGAAACTCCATCTCAAGTTAAAAAATAAAATAATTTTTTTTTTTTTTTTTTTGTAGAGACAGAGTCATACTTTGTTGCCTAGGCTGATAAGGTTACTTTTCTCAAGTCTAATGTGGCTAAGTGTGGTGGCTCACGCTTTTGATCCCAGCACTTTGGGAGGCAGAGGTGGGAGTTAATCCCAGCACTCTGGAAGGCAGAGATGGGAGGATCTCTTGAGCCCAGGAGTTTGAGAACAGCCTAGGCAAAGTAGTGAGACCCATCTCTACAAAAAAATAAAACAATTAGCTGGGTGTGGTGGTGTGCATCTGTAGTCCCAGCTACTCACGAGGCTGAGGTGGGAGGATCACCTGAGCCTGGGAAGTCAAGGCTGCAGTGAGCCATGACTGTGCAACTGCACTCCAGCCTGGGTAACAGAGTGAGACCCTATCTCAAAAAATAAATAAAAATAGGCTGGATGCGGTGGCTGATGCCTGTAATCCCAGCACTTTGGGAGGCCAAGGCAGGCAGATCACTTGAGTCCAGAGAGACCAGGCTGGGCAACATGGAGAAAACCTGTCTCTACAAAAAATACAAAAATTAGCCAGGGGTGGTAGTATGTGCCTGTAGTCCCAGCTACTTGAGAGGCGGAGGCAGGAGGATCACTTCAGCCTAGGAGTTTGAGGCTGCAGTGAGCTCTAATACACACCACTGCACTCCAGCCTGGGTGACAAAGCAAGACCCCGTGTCAATTAAAAAAATAATAAGATTAATTTTTAAAAATTAAAAAAATAAGTTAAAATTTAAAAAAGTCTAACGAATGCTAAAACTGTGAAAGGTTGATGGGGAATGAGATACTTGCAATATTACCAAAGTGTCCCCCACATATTGGTTAATGGCAAAGGGAATTTTGTAATAGAGGAATTAGGTAGTTACTGTATTAACCCTATGATCAAAACCAGTAAGATCACCAGATATTATTGCCTCATGATAGGATGTAATATGCAAGACACAACATTACCTATTAAAGCAATTTTGCCAAAAATATTTTACCTGATTTAAATTTAACTTCTAGTTCACAGATAATATAGAACATGGAGGAATAAACTAAACAGTAATGCAAAGAAACAATCAGACCAATTTTGAAACTTACAGAAAATTGGCTTCATCTATCATCAATGGGGAAAGAGGTATGGCATAGGGCAAGGGTATTTTAGGTTAAGGAGATTTAAAGGACATAAGTGAGCCAGGCATGGTGGCTCACGCCTGTAATCCCAGCACTTTGGGAAGCCAAGGCAGGTGGATCACTTGAGGCTAGGAGTTTGAGACCAGCCTGGCTAACATGGTGAAATCCTGTCTCTAGTAAAAATACAAAAATTAGCCAGGAGTGGTGGTGGGCACCTGTAATCCCAGCTACTCGGGAGGCTAAGGCAGCAGAATCACTTGAACCCGGGAGGTGGAGGTTGCAGTAAGCTAAGATTGCACCACTGCACTCCGTCTAGGCAACAGAGCAAGACTCCATCTCAAAAAATAAAATAAAATAAAAAATAAAGGACATAAGTGTAAGAGGTAGTGCTTGACTGGATTATAAACAGCTATAGGCAGGGTGTAATCCCACACTCTAGGAGGCTGAGGAGGTAGGATTGCTTGAGCCCAGGAGTTTGAGATCAGCCTAGGCAACATGGGGAAACCTCAGCTATACAAAAATTTAAAAACTAGCCAGAGTCATCTGCCATGGCTTGCACCTATAATCTCAGCACTTTGGAAGGCTGAGGTGGGAGGACTGCTTGAGCCCAGGAGTTCGAGACCAGCCTGGGCAACACAGTGAGACCTTATCTCTAAAATAAATAAACAAATAAAAAACACTAGCTGAGCACGGTGCCACATGCCTGTAGTCCCAGCTACTCGGGAGACTGAGGTGGGAAGACTGCTTGAGCCAGGGAGGTCAAGGCTGCAGTGAGTTGTGATTGTACCACTGCACTCCAGCCTGGGTGACAAAGTGAAACCATGTCTCAAACCAAAACCAGCTATAAAAGACACCTGGAAGTCAAGTGCAGTGGCTCACACCTGTAATCCCAGCACTTTGGGAGGCCGAGGCAGGTTGATCACTTGAGCCCAGGAGTTCGAGACCATCCTGGGCAACACAGTGAGACGCCATCTCTACAAAAAATTTAAAAAATTAGCCAGGCAAGTATACGTATGTAACAAACCTGCACGTTATGCACACGTACCCTAGAACTTAAAGTATAATAACAATAAAAAAAAAAAAAGGAAAAAAGAAAAAAAAAAAATTAGCCAGGCATGGTGGCACACGCCTGTATCTCTGCTACTTGGGAGGCTGAGGTGGAAGAATCACTTAAGCCCAGGAGGTTGAGGCTGCATTGAGCCATGTTCATTCCACTGCACTTCAGACTGGGTGACAGAGAAAGACCCCATCTCTAAAAAAAAAAGTAAAAAATCAAAAGACACTGGCAACTATTTGGGGAAATATGAATTTGGAATGGATGTTAATGACATTGGGGGATTAGAGTTATTTTGTTTATTTATTTTTAAGACAGTCTCGCTCTGTCACCTAGGCTGGAGTGCAGTGCCGCAATCTTTGCTCACTGCAACCTCCACTTCCCTGACTCAAGTGATCTTCCCACCTCAGCCTCCCAATTAGCTGGGATTACAGGCAAGTACCACCATGTCCAGCTAATTTTTGTATTTTTGGTAGAGAAAAGGTTTCACTGTGTTGCCCAGGCTGGTCTTGAACTACTGGGTGCAAGCTATCCACCAGCCTCAGCTTCCCAAACTGTTGGGATTGCAAGTGTGAATCAACATGGCAGGCCAGATTATAGTTATTTTTGTGAAATATGATAAACTTTTTGTGGTTGTGTAGAAAAAGGCCGCCTTTTTAGGGGTGATATATGCAAACATTTAGGAGTGAAATGTCTTGACATTTGTAATATACTTTAAAATAGTAATTGTAAAGCAAAAGATGTTAATTATGGATGTTAATTACATGGATATTATGGTCTTTTTTCCTGCTTTTCTTGAATAAAGCTGTGTTTCTACATGCACTGTATATGTATGTAAGCAGGAAAACTACATGTATGGTGACTATAGCTGGTTAGCTCCAGGGAAGACTAGAATTGGGCAAATGGGTAAAAAAGGCAGATCAAACAAGATCGGCAAGAAAACAGAAACACAGCAGAATACGCAGATGGTGCACCAACCTTAACATATTCAACCGCTCTTGGAGAAAAATCACAGGCATAGGCAAAGATATTCGGATCTTCTTCTAAAAGTGGGAATAAACAGTTTCCAACCCCACAGCCAGCTTCAAGTATTGTTAACTTTTGATCTTCAAACTGGGGAAAGATAGCTCAAAGTTATAGTACATTACAATTGCATAATGAAGAAATAAACCAAACTAAAAGGTCCAGAATATGCGAGGTCTCTGACCCCATGAAGGAGAAGATCAACAAGTGAACTAATAAGCAAAAGCTAATACTGGTACTTCATTTGTCATCCAACATTAACAGTTTGGTGTGGAGGAAAAAAACAGCACAATGGCTCCGGAATTAAACTGCCAGCACTCAAATCTCAACTCCTCCCCTGCATTCTATCCTTGGGCAAATCACTTAAACAGCTCTGTGCCTCAATTTTACCTTGGGGACAAATGAGTACAATACTAATACTTACACTTCACAGAGCCGGTATAAGGGTCAAATGATAGGACATGTAGAAAAGAGCCATGGTAAATAGTTCACTAACATGAACTATTATTATTATTATTTTGAGTATGTCACTGAAGTCACTCAGTATGAATTTATATTTTGGTTTTTAAATTTTTAATGTTTAAATTTTTAAAAATTCAGAACATATGGTCTCACTATGCTGCCTAGACGGCTAATTCACGTTGGCTATTCACAGGCACAAGCCGCCTACCTGAGCCTCTCGATTAGCTGGTGATAGCCACCATACCTGGCTCTTGAATTTAATATATAATGTTTACAACTATCAGATCAACTTAAAGAAATAGAAAACGTCCACTAAAGTTCTCTTTCCTATATGTTAACCAAACCAGAAACTGCTAAAACTTTGACGTTAAGACTGAACAGTATATTTCTCTCCTAAAATGCAAAGCATTTTGATAGGCTTCTTTCTCTACTTCGCACTTCTCCCTAGGAATGCAATACACAGCACACCTCTTCACATTATTTTTTTCTTTTTCTTTTTTTTTTTTTTTGAGACAGAGTCTCGCTCTGTCGCCAGGTTGGAGCGCAAGGGCGCGATCTCTGCTCACTGCTATCTCTGCCTCCCGGGTTCAAGCGATTCTCCTGCCTCAGCCTCCCAAGTAGCTGGGACGATAGGCGTGCACCACCACACCTATCTAATTTTTGTATTTTTAGTAAAGACAGGGTTTCATCATGTTGGCCAGGATAGTCTCAATCTCTTCACCTCGTGATCCGCCTGCCTCGGCCTCCCCAGGTACTGGGATTACAGGCATGAGCCACCGCACTCGGCCCTCTTCACATTTTAAATTAAGAACAGCTCAGATAAGGCGTAATATTAGCTTACCTCTCTACATGATCTTAGCTCCTCAAACTCTCTGGTGGTCCAGTGTCTGTCTTTGAAGAAATTAGTGCTATTTCTTTTGTAAAAAAGATCCCAGTTTTTCTGAGCCTCTTGTTCCAATTTGTGTTGTTTAAAATCAGACACCAAAGTTTGGTCTCTTTTCAGTTTCTCCTCTTCTTCAGAGCTGAGAACCCTTGCCTGCAGCCCTTTCCTTGGCAAAGAAGTCATCTCAGAAACTGAAGGTAACACTCAACACAGCTGAAGATTCTCCATCCCCAAATAATATGAATCCATGCTAATGGATCAGATGCATTTCCTCAGGTGAGTTTCACGCCTCAAACAGCACAGGGGCTTCGCAGACAAAAGAATGAGATTCTGGTTAGTGGTTCTAGAACGGTTCAAGACGCCAGGTTCAATTCACCAAATGTTTATGAGATGCAGACTGTACAAAAAAAAAATCCTCCCCGCCATATGAGAGGTCACAAAGAAGACAAAGACAACAGTCCCTAACTTCAGAGGGCTTAATTCATTCAGTGGCCAGGACTATCTCATGCACCATACTTTTATTCAAACCAGATGAGTCAACTATTACAATAAATCGATTTAGTTTAGGGAAAAAAAGGACGCTCTCACGAACTGACTGGGAAACCTTGCGAAGAAAATATTACTCAATTTTCAGTGCCCGCGAAAGGAGTGACTTAAAAACCACAATGGACTTAGCTGGAAGCGGGTGGTCAATTGCCAGATACAAGTGAGGTCACCGTTTCCCAAGGGTCGGAGCTCCGTTTTTTCGGGGGAAATGAAGCTAAGCCTGGGTGGGCTCATTTCCTGATCGCACTCACAAGAGGCTGTCGTAGGAACCAGAGGGAACGTCACTTTTCAGGGACTGAGGCCCTCGCACCGCCATCACCGCGCAAAGTGGAGAAAGAGACCCAGTGACGCGTGGCTGAGGTCCCGAGGATCCATCTCAGGACACTCAGGATAGACTAGGCCGCATGGGCCTCTGGACCCTGAGGAGGGCGTCCATGATGGCTAGCCGACCCGCGTTAATCTAGTCAGCCACGCTCAGGGATCACCATCATCAGTTCCTAAATTCACCTGTAGGGGTAGGGCCAGGCGCACTCACCCCACAGCCAGCCCCAGATCTCGGAGGCAGAATATGGGAGGAACTGCGAAACAACCCTGAGCCAATTGTGAGGATCACAAATTGGGAATCTCCGGGAGGAGTTCTTTTGCCATGGCACCGCCCCCGCCACTTCCGCTAGGAACCCGGAAGTTCCTACCCGACGCCGGAAGTCCCGCGGCCTTGCCTCTTCAGATTCTTCCTTTATCCCGAGGCAGAGAACGGGACTTGCTTCTGGAGCCGGGTGGGTGCCGGCTTTGCTCTCCTTGCCCTCTAGAGCGGTGTCCCGGGAGCACAGTCCTCCCAGACGCCAGCGCCGGAAGCTCCGATCGCGGCTGCGCCAGGAGAGCGCCGATCTGGGTGCGAGGCCGGTGCGGGACCATGAATGGGACTGCGAACCCGCTGCTGGATCGCGAGGAACATTGCCTGAGACTCGGGGAGAGCTTCGAGAAGCGACCGCGGGCCTCCTTTCACACTATTCGTTGTAAGTCAGCGCTCCCCACGGTTCCCTTCGGCCGCTCAAGCCGCCACATGTCAACCTTGACTCCTTCCTTTCTTCCCTCGGCCCTTCAGATTCCAGGGAACCCCCTGCCAGCGTCAGTTACTTTCTCTCGAACCCCCAATCCTTTGGGACCTCGAGTTGGCCCTTCTTTTACCCAGATTATTTCTCCAAAATCTTCGTCACTCCCTACTATTCTTCTACTTTATAGTCTCAAACACTAGTTCCAAAGGTCTTTGGCCTCGTTTTGGTTCCATCCCTCCTCTCCCCCGACGTCGCCCCTAAGGCAAACCTCCCTCCCCCAAGGCAAACCTCCCCCCTCTTATCCGGGTCCACTTCTTCCTCGAAACCCCTCCCCTCCTTTCCAATGCTCCCATCAGGGTTCTCCACAGTTAAAAGACGCTTCTTGTTTATTACGACCCTCATCCACTCCCTCCGAACCCCTTCTCTTCCCTGCTTTCCTCCTCCGACTTGGTTCTGGACTCCCAGATACTGCGCTTTGTCCCCTTTACAGCCAAAGAATTGGCATCCTCTCTGCGCCTCAGAGTTTTCTTCCATCTCCTTTCTGTGCTTCATTTGACTTGGATGTCTTTTGAGGTCACCTATACCATCCGGGCTTTTCCTCCAGACCAAGTTCCTTGTGGGTAAAGAGTCAAATCAGAGTTCGTGAGCCTGGGATAGGTTAAAGATTGGTCTACGTTTGGAAGCAGAAGAGAGCAGGCGTAAGGAATGTCGAAATAGTCATTATGCCGGACCTTTTTCTACATGATTATAGACTCTGTTGAGAGTGCACTTCCACCCTATGTCCTGGGTGAAGGTTTGGTAGTTAGGAATTGGCTGACAGAGCATCCCTCCGTGATTCATGAACTTCTGGTTTCCGTGGCGCTAACGCTGTTATTAAGACTTGTTTTTGTCAGAGGACCTGATAGATGTGACTCAACACATGTGAAGAGGGCGTCTTAGATAATGAAATCCCATCTTTGTGTAGTCACTTGCCATGCCATTACTATGCTTCCTACTGACAGCAGATCCAGCTCTTTCAGAGAGGAGATTGGGAATGAGATAAGAACATCATTTCCTGTAGAGTTTACTAAGTTGATGTTCTCTTTTGGTGAAGGGCAATGTGGAATTTAAATCATACAGTTCATGTGTGCACCTGCCCTGCAGTTTGAGGCAGATGTGAATGTGAATTAAGATGGCTATTCATGTTGTACTCTAACTGCAGTTTAGAAACACGAGCAGGATAACTTGTGGAGATACAGTTAAGTTGTCTGCTATGAACATCTACAGAAGTGTCTTGGTTAAAGCTGCAGAACTGGCTGAGTGGTGGCTGACACTATAATCCCAGTACTTTGGGAGGCCAAGGCGGGCAGATAGCTTGAACCCAGGAGTTTGAGACCAGCCTGGGCAGCGTAGTGACACCCCATCACTATTTAAAAAAAAAAAAAAAAAAAGATAAAAAACAGCTATGGAACTTGAGTATGGCAAATCCTAATTTTGACAGTTTCTATGCAGAGTGAAATCAGCTTTTGATGATGCTGTGGCCTTTCATATTTCATACAGTTTACAGTCACAGGATCTTTTTCATATGCTGTTACTTTTGATCCTCACAACCCTAAAAAAGCAACTTATTATGGATGATGAGATCTTAATTTTCATCTCTCCCTTGGGAGAAGGGAATATCTTTGTTTAATAAAATGGCCTGTAAATTCTTTTTTCCTCCTAGAATAATCCAAAGGGGGTCAGAGGAAAAGTTTGTAGAGGTATAGATGAAACAGGATTGTCCCTGAGTTGGTAATAATAGAAACTGGATAATGGTACACCAGGGCTCATTGTACGATTTTCTCTACTTTTGTATATTTGAAGTTTTCCATAATGAAACCGGTTTTTAAGAATTCTGAATTATTTTTATTTTTCATTCATCTGAGTAATAACAAATTTAATTCTTAAATGGAGATGTTCAGGAGGCCCTTATTATAAGTAACCTGGTGGGTAAGTGTTTTCTTTCCTTTCCCTTTAGATGATTTTAAACCAGCATCTATAGACACTTCCTGTGAAGGAGAGCTTCAAGTTGGCAAAGGAGATGAAGTCACAATTACACTGCCACATATCCCTGTGAGTTTATTTCATTGTTTTTTTAAATGTAGGATCACAATGAATCTTCATCTTTTATGTTATTGCAATTTAAACTTCCTACTTTTAAAAATGTTTAGATTTCTAAAGTGGCAACATAAGGAAAAAAGGAATTTTGGGGAGTGGGGTGGGGTGGACTTCATGCTAGGCAGGTGCTTGATTTAAAAATAATTCTTGTAATCTTAGCACTTTGGGAGGTGGAAGTGGGTAGATAGCTTGAGTTCAGGAGTTCAAGACCAGCTGGGCAACATGGTGAAACCCCGTCTGTACCAAAAATACAAAAAATTAGCTGGGGGTGATGGCGCATGTCTGTAGTCCCAGCTGCTTGGGAAGCTGAGGTGGGAGGATCACTTGAGCTGGGAGGCAGAGGTTGCAGTAAGCCAAGATCATGCCCCACTGCACTCTAGCCTGGGCAACGGAGTGAGACTCCCTCTCAAAAAAAAAAAAAAAAAAAAAAGATTATTCGTCATTTTCCCCAATCTTCCTTTTCCCCTATCTGCCACTAAGTAAACAAGGTTCCTGTCTGGACACCTAGCCCCTATTTTAGATATAGCTTTTCTCCCAAGCAACTCCAGAGAGAAAAGCCGTAGGTGCCCTGCTGATTATACGGCCACAACAGCTCAGGAGCGTGAGGCAACCAAGCCAGGAGTTAAGGCAGGCAAGAGCCAGAGATTGACACATTCAGCTGATTTAGGGATGAAGAACTAAATTGAAAGCTGGATTAAGAACCCTTGCAGAGAAAGACTTGTGAAGCCCTACCCAAGGCAGCACTAATGACAAAGCACCAAAGGGTCACATGATGCTCTTAGCGAACATGTTTTATTGCATGTCACACCCCTGTTCTGGAACATAAGTTCTTGGTAGCTGGTGACAGAATGAAAAGTCTCTGGACAGAGAGATCTGGAAAGCTTTGTGCTGAGGAAAAATTGCCCATTCAAACTGCTATTTGATTACTCGTTGCCTTTGGCAAGTTACATCATCTCCCTTTGGACCTTAGTTTCCCATATGTAAAATGAAAGGTTTAGATAAATGGTCCCTAAAGTCCTTTCTAGCTCTGTATTTTTACTATATAAATAAGGAGTCAAAGAGCCAAGTGTTTTTTTTTATTCTAAGCAAGGTATTAAATACTATATTCAACAAATATTAATCAAACTCCTCCCACACGCTGGCCCATTACTAGGCATGAAGAATATAACCTTGGACAAAACAAGCACATTTCTTGCCCTTGTGGAGCTTATGGTCTGGAGTTTAAATAAACACAAGACAATATAGCTGTTATTCTACAAAATCTTCCTTCTTTAAGGAAGTAAGCTGTGAGCAGATCTGGAGGTTTGGTCATTTAAAGAGAGGGGGCAGGATATAGCCGGCGGGAAGTCTTGTTAAAGCCCGGAGGCAGGAGAGAGCTTGAGGATCAGAGAGAAGCCAGTTGCCTTCTGCTCCGAAGCACATGTGCAGGGGAGTATGCCGCAGGGTGAGGTGGAGAGCCAGGGAAGGGCCCGGTAGTGCAAGGCCAAGTGGCTAGTTTAAAGATTTTATCCTTTGACTTGAGAGCAATTGAGGAGTGACTGAAAGGCTTAGGCAGATGAGTGACCTGATTTATTTATTCTGAGCCAACCAGGATAATGATCTTCTCTTGGAAAATGCTCTGTTGGTTGCTTGACATGAGAAGGGGAAACCCTGGTCTCTCTAATGACAAAGAAGAGATCACTCACGAAGTAAAGAGATCACTCACAGTTTTACTATACAGAGTGGTAACTCTGCTTAGTATAGTGCAAGTAATGGTTAATTTTTCTCTCTCGGAATGTATATAGTAATTTACAATTTTTGTACTACCTTTTTGATTACTTAGAATGGGTTGCACATTCACAGATGCTTGCTATATTATTTCTCCTTTATTTTTGTCTGGGAAACCTGGAGTTAAAAATAGAAATCAGTTCAACCTATTCTTTTTGAATAGCTCTGATGAAAGATTTCATCAGGTAGAGTCATCTATAAATTCAGTTGATATTCATGACTGGTATGTTTAGTTTGATCATCTTATACTTTTGTGGCAAATAGGGATCCACACCACCCATGACTGTGTTCAAGGGGAACAAACGGCCTTACCAGAAAGACTGTGTGCTTATTATTAATCATGACACTGGTGAATATGTGCTGGAAAAACTCAGTAGCAGCATTCAGGTGAAGAAAACAAGGTATGTGAATAGCCAGATGCAGGTTTATGTCATGTTTCCAAACCTCTGTTATCTATTCAGTTTTTATAAGGTTGTGAATGTCTGCTTGCTCATAGTGTTCTATCAGTAGTCTTAACTCTACCTGCGTCTTCTCAGACAAATCAGTAAAATATGTCTTCCTCAAATGCAATAAAAAGAAATAATGTTTTTAAGACCTAAAACATGGGAACCATTAGGGAAAGGGATATACTTTATAATTAAGCCAATTTTGTTAATCTCGTGATTGCTACAGTACCACCTAAGGGATAAGATAACTTATAAACTTATAATTATGAAGTAA